GTAGGGAGAAGAAACAAGGTGATGTCACCTCGACAACTTTGCCTTTTCTATTATTTTTTAACTTTTTCTTTTATATTATATATATATATATATATATAACGAGCAGTACGCCGAAGCATACCACTCGGTACACTCATACCGTACTATACCGAGCTAAGATCGAAACTCCAGTATGGTACAAAATAACAAAACTTGCTATTTAATACCTCATAGGGTGTTTGACATATTTATAGTAGTAAACTAAGGCTAATTAGGGTTTAATTAAGTTTTTTAATACTATAATTAGTGTATTTAATGATAAATTCATCATTATTTGATCCTTTATTGGGTTAATTTTATATTTAATAATTATTAGTGTTTGTCATGTTTATTATGGTAAAAGAGGGCTAATTAGTGAGTAATTAATGTTTTAATGCTATAATTAGTATATTTAATTATAAATTCATGGTAATTTGACCTATATTGAGTCAATTCTATGTATTTAATGCCGCATAGGTTGATTAATATGTTTATAATGGCAAAGTAGGGTACGTGATGTATAATCACACTTATTATTTCAAATAGAGCTAATCGTAGCTTATTATTTCATTCAATTTTGATAGAAACATTACACCAAAGAAACAAACATATGATGATACTTGAAATCATGCCCGAAAGATAGACGGAAACCGTCATAATTGACAATGCATTTATTGTGACTACGTCCGCAAAGGTGGAGGAATCATCGAGATGAAGATGGATTTCGCCGACAGATATCCCGATGTTGCAAAATGTAAGAAGGTTCCAACTTAGGTCCATAAATTATTTTAAGATAAGTTACAATAGGCAAAGGAAGATACAATTATAAAGGAGACAAGAGTTGAGAAAGAATACTACAAGTCTATGTAGGAACCGATTTATGATGAATATGAGAGTCACGGTGATGATATCGATCCAGATCTCAGAGTTGATATTTGTACATCACTAGAGCATCAGTATATATACGAGGCAATGAGGCATCAACGACCTAACTCAGAGTGGGAGCATGGCGATGGTAGATTTATACTTGGAGCATTTTTCTCCCTTAGGTTACTCTACTAGAACTGACTTCTCCATCGTTCATAAATACTTCTTCATCATTCATCATTACTCCGTCAAGACTTCCTTCTTCACTTCCGAATTCAAGTTGATATATCTCATTATCTTCTTTCTCAGACTCCTCTATTTTAAAATTTTTATTTCCTCTCTCTAAATTTTCTAAACTTAAGACTTTCATATTCTTCCTTCCATTTTTCGTTCAACTAATATATCTGAACATATTTCTATTAGGACGATTTCCTCTAATAAGTCATTAAAATTCTTCTTTTTATCTTCTTCTACAATTCTACTTATTCTTTGTGGTTCTTGATATATTTTTGTATGGTCACTTGTTTCATTGTTGATTTTAAAAATTATGAAATTTTCTATGACATTTTTAACGGCTTTATCTATATCTTCTCCTTCAATTTGTTCTATTATATTATTTGTTTCTTCTTCTCCTCTCTCAGTCTTGAAGATGACTTCTTCCAATGTCCTATATTCTAGACTATTTCCGTTGTATTTCTTTGGTCTTTTCTTCCCTCTATATAAATATCCTAAATTCCTAATCGATGGCGGTTATTTCTTAAATCTTCATTTAGTTGTTTGGCAAAGTAAATAAAGTCTATTTCATTATTATTTTTTGGTTTTATTCCACTTAACATATTTATTTTAATAATATTTTCTTCTTCTTCTTCCTCTAGGTACATTATTTTTTCCCTATAATTTGAAAATCTAGTTAGGTGTATATGTGGCCTGAGGTTGCTTCTAGTTTTCTATCTCACCTCTTGGTATGTCTCCTAATTCCTACTCCTCCATTTTTAAAGTGTCAATCTTTTTTGCTAGGATCATATTTACATCTCTACTAGTAAAACTTTCTACTAATTTTTATGTTTGTAATAAAAATCCTAATGTAGCTTTCCAATACACCTTATGGTAATTGCAATATTATTTGCATCTAGAATCATATCATAATTTTTTACTTTTGAATATTATCTTAGTATATCTTAAAAATTCTACCAGATTCATGGAAAAATTTGATATACACCCTATTACAGCATAATTATCAATCATATTATATTCGTGCATAACTAATTGGGCTTGGTTATGGTTATTAAATTGATCATCAAAAACATACTTCATAATCATCCCAGCTACTCCCCTTTTCTAAGTTTGCAATTCCTATTACTATTAGTCCGATATGAAACTTTGAATATTTTGCTAATGATTTTTGTAATTCTTCTTAGTTGAAGTCTGTTGTGACTGCTTTATCAACATATGCTATGTCATATTGCTTTACTTGTCTTTTTTTTTTTTTTTAACTTCAAAAATCTTGTTCTATAAGGTGAAACATCCTTTTTATTTGTCTTTTGAGATTATTTTCAATGTATGCTTATGTGTATCCTAAGTCATATAATGCTAATTCTTTTCCATTTTTTGAGCTCCCCTTGACAGTTCTTCCACCATCTTTTGACTACTACTTCCTTTAAGTTTGGGTTTCCATCTTTCGATTCACTGGATTCTTTAAATTCTATTTGCGTAAATTCTAGTTTTTTGTTTTTAATCTAATTTTTCATTTTTAGTTAGTCTTGATGTGTCTAGAGAGACTTTTAATTTTTCTATATACACAATACCGATAAGTATAATAAGGTCAATCAGCATGAGACGGCATTTCTTAGTTGTAACCGACTCCTTTGTCAATCAAGGGATATCTTTGTATATTCAGAAATAACAAAATAATGATGTCTTTGTTTTCTTGCAATATACACTAAACTAAAGGACAATATATTCATAAAACAAGGTACCAGTTAAGGATGCAATGGAATCTTACGTGGTCATCATGCAAATTTCAATCTCTAGAAATAGGCAAATTGCCAAAAGTTGCATAGAAAATACTAGCCTCTGGGTCTTCCCTTTTCTTTAAATGAAAGTTGGAAAACTAATCACTACAAACACAATTTTACAACATAATTTTGAGCCTTAATGATATTAGATAAGCAAAGGTGAGAAGAGAGATTGGAACCACATAATGATATCACACGCTCGTGCTTGGTAAAGATGTCCACTTCAGAAAACATAAGATCTTGAAATTTATGATGCCATGCTAAAGTATATAAAAATGGCTTTTGGTTGAGGATTCAGATGAGACAAGATAGAAATTAAGTCTATGAATGATTGAAAACTGTCTAAGAGGCATGAAGAGCAATGAAAAAATCCAATAAGATGAGAAACTGCAAATTAGTCAGTATGTTTACCTCTCAGGAGTAAGGTTTGTTGTTAGATGTCCATGAGATCTGATGAGTGATATTCTTTTTGCATAATTAATTGAATAGGTCTATGTAGTCATCTAAAATAAGAAACTGATCCATTTATTTTAACACAAGCGGGTAAACACATCATATTGCAATTAACCATTAGTTGCTTACTTTTCTAGTACCAAATAAAAGGGGGAAAGAAAACCCAAACCTAGTAGAACACTTGGTCTTATGATCAAGAATTTACATGCTCAGTACTAGACCCTGAACCATCAGTTCGGAATGTTAGTACTGAGTAAAAAATAAAAGAAAAAGAAGGGAAACCAAAAACAAAAAAAATTGAGAACAGAGAAAGAAACACCTAAGAGTAGACGAGTGAGCTTACAATTGGCTCCTCTTCCAATTGTTCCCTTTCCAATGAGGGCACAAGAGAGGAACAGGGAAAGATAGAATTTTGCCATTATGGATCACAGAGAGAGAGAGAGAGAGAGAGAGAAAGGTCACCATCATCATCGATATTTAGGCCTTCTAAAAATTTATTTTAATTAGTTGTAGTCAAAACTCAAAACCAGTCTGGATTTTGATGGAGACATAATATATGAATGGTCTGCAACTGACTTTTACTATCACTACAAGAGGATGATCGATGGCTGGTTTTACCCAATGCTTGACAAGAATTTTGATTTCACTGGCAAAACGAACGAAAAATGCTGGCTTGCAGCAAACCCCAACAAATATAATAATGACTAGTGTATGCTTCATGTTCTGCAAGTCAACTGAAACCTCCTATGTTATTAAATTATGTGGAACAGTAAAGTAAAATTCTAGTGCTTGCTGACCTTTGGCCAAGCTGCAGAAAGACTTGTAATGACCATCTTTGCAGCTTGCAATCCAAATGCTTTGTGACGAGCGACATTTAGTAGGTGACACATATATTCACTTTTAAACCTCATCAAGTATCTTATAGCCTGCAAAACAGTTTGGTTGACAAATCATACATGGACTCAGTAATGCAGAAACTAAAGCAACAAAAATAAATCACTAAAGATCATGCTGTATCAGAAAGCTTTATGGCAGATGATATGATTGTCAATTAATGGGGAAAAGAAAATAAAGTCAAGATTAACTAGAGCGAAGACCTGTGCTCGCCACCACCTCCTATCCATCTTTCGGTGGCTTCGAAGTAAACTCCCATCTACCTCTGTTGTTGGTTGCAGAAAACTCCATGGTCTACCCCATGCTCTAAATAACAGTTATTACAAATGTAAGGTGATATAAACAATCTCTAAACTACAAGAGAAATGAGTAAATGATGAGGAATTGTATACCTAGGTACCTTTCCAGCCCATATTTCCTTTGAGGTATAGTTGTCCTTGACTGTTATGATCCGTTTTTGCCAAGCTTCTTGACTCTTCATGAGACTAAAAGCTTGTTTCTGACACTCGGTGGATGTCTCGGCAAAGAAGTAGCAAGACCAGTGAGATCGTGAAGAACCTGTAAAATGGAAACTAGGATCAATGTGTACACCCATTTTGTAGAAAATAGAAAATTTTGTGTAGCTTGGGTAGAGACGAATGAGATCTTCAGATGTATTCTGCTCTAACATGATGCCATAGAGACATCTTTAGATGATTAAACAGAGAACAGAACATAATCATCACTGCGAAGAAATATTACACCTTGGCAGCCACCATGATCTGCTCTGTTGTAGTAGTTTGTGACAAGAATTCGTTTCTCGTTTAACGCAATAGCCAGAAGCCCTGACATTCCAGCTAGTTGGGCCCCAATACCAAATCCTGGAAGCCTCTCCCAGTCAGCAAGTAGAAACCGCAGGTTAGGATCATTGCAGTTCTTGGGGTGCTGACGAACCCATATATCCCTCTGTACTAATCTAGTAAGAGGAAAATTGTCCTCATCTGATCCTACAACCTGGAAATAAACTTTCATCAAATATCAAGTAATAATTCATGAACGATAAATAATTCAGGTGAACAAAACAGATAGCAGATCACATATACCAAGTTTGAATACGGGTATAAAGGCAGTGCTCATAAGTTCCAAAGTAATGTATTTTTGGAAAAGTCTATCTCACAGTATGATGCTTTTCCCGGGTATGTATCAATTTTATACTCGACATTTCAGCAATTTATTTCAAAATTTTTACTGTAAATTATTCTTTTTTTTATTTCTGTCATCAAATGTGTCTAACAAAATAATAATCTATACACGGTCCACAAAATTATAACCCTACGAAAGTACAACAAAAGAATGCATATGTAAAAGTATTTGATGAACTCCTGCATGTACCTCTGTTTCCCATAGAAGAGGAAGGAGATACAGAAGGCGAAACTTATTTGACAAAAAGGAAAATAAGTATGATGAAATTTCAGAGTTCTCATATCAGCTCAGAATCAGTGTGTAGATTAACTTCAACTATATTGTAACAAGCCAGTTTACTCCTGCAAATTCACATACCCAAGGAGGATAAGCATCTCCAAATTTTGCTTCATGATGATAATGAGTTTTCTCTGGATCTTTTGATGAGGAGGGATGAAGTAACTCCATTCCTAAAAATCCTCTCCACAAAGTCCAAGGAGGATAGCTTCCATTTTCACCATGGCTGTCAAACTGCTTGTACATTTGAGCATTCAGACTGCAGTTTTCAAAATGAGGAGCATCAGGAACATCAGCTCTAGCAAATTGATGCTCATCATCTCCATTCAGCAGAGCCCAAGCATTATACAGCATCATGACTCTCTCTTCATCACTTGGCACTAGACCCGCCGAATGATCCTCTGAGACCTCTACTTTCTCTGTTATAGAGCTGTACATGCCTGATCTGCTAATACCTGCAATAACAAGAAAAGACTTGATTGTTTCTGGTTCAAAATGTAAGACCAACTTGCAAAACTATCTCATCATAAGCAGCACAAATACTCTGCAACAAATTTCCTCGATCTGGAAAATGATTCATGATGTAACTTGAGAAGCAAGTGATCAAGAGCCACTTAAAACGAAAACAACAAGTTATTTCATATTGTTCGCAGTCGATATTGAAAATCAACATTTTCCAAACTATCCAGGAAAAAGGAAAAAAAAGGAAACTTTTTTGGCTGAAGATGGTGAACTCAGAATCTGCTCAGTCACATCCACCATCCAGAAAACAATTTGTACATCATCATCTAAATCAGCTATGCATTTAATTGTCAAAATTTGGCAATTGAAAACCTCAAACATCAGTCATCAAATTGTCCTTTTAGCTAGAATTCCTTGAAGAAATCATCTTTAGTTGAAAAGAAATCAAGAACAAGGATTTTCATAAGCATATGCATGAAAAAGGACAAGGAAACAAAAATAAATTGAAAAGAATATGCATGTAACTTTCTTTAGTTGGAAGTGCTTTAGTTGTACAGCGTAAAAACAGAAGGGACTAATTTTGAAGCCCAACATTTAGGAATCTGCTTCTGAATAAGAGAAGAATTGATTGAGTAGAAACGATTCACATGAGAAGAATAGAATCAACCAAAAGTACCGAGTGAGAATGCCCTATTGGTTAATATGTTGGATAAATACTGGTACCATAAAATAAAACCACCGAAATCCGTGAAATTGATATGCTTTTTATCCAACAATTGTTACAGTAGTGTCTATGAAACTAGTCAAGCAAGAATAGTAATAAGGAATAATTTCATTCTTCTGAAAGATTGAACTAACCAGAAGTCCAAAAGCTTGAATTCTGCGAAACGGCTCCGGCGGTCCTTGAATACACCAATCCAACCTCTGTAGACCTGAGTGGAGCAACGGCAACCAGGAAGAGGTAGGTGATGCAGACACCACAGAAGAAACCCAGAACCCATATTTTGCATGGGGTGGAGTTGCCCATCTGCAAAGCCTTCTGAGAGAGAGCTCTATCAAGACCCTTTTGAGCTGTTGGTTCCATTATCCACCTATCTTCCTTTTACTCCTGCCACCATTCAAACTCACTTAAACAGGCGCTTCTCCTACCGTTCCGTTCTTCATCCAAAGCACATGGAACTTCAATATCAACACCAATCTGCTCCCAGACCTAAATGTCAGACCACAGACTGTTTCATTAATTTCCTCTACCACTACAACTACCATTACGAGTCTGAGCAATTGTAGTCTAGCTTTCTGGGCATTGTGTTGTCTCCTACACAACCATTCAGGACAGACAAAAAGGCCCTCACCTAAAGTATCTTCACCTGACTCTCATCAATGAGTGTTAAGCGCCTCCCTTCCAACTGCATTACCACACGATCATTTCTTTCTTTCAGTTCCACGCCACACCGCACACGATAGAAGACGATAAAAGTAAAACCAAGGATGCCCATTTAAATGAAATGTGTCAAAAAGACATCTTATTTCTATGACACATGGCATGTTATCCTATCCTGCTACGCATGCAGAAAAAAATAAAAAAACACAAGAGGAACGGACTTGGGAGATCCACCAAATCAAGGAGAGGTCAGCTCTTTTCAGACATCACGCGCACATATTCCATGGCAAATTTGACACCAAGAGGTTCTTCCGAAGGCATGACACGAGAGGCAAAAGGAAGGCAATAACCTGGTGTGAGACCTGACAGGAGGACCGAGTGAGCAGGGGGTCACAAGATCATCCACAAGCTTCTGCTCCCTGTTTCCTCGGGCAATTCATGTCAGGCGCTGCTGCTGCTACTGCTACTGTAAACCTTGGCCACGGCGCCCTGCACTACTTACCTGTGCGGGAAGCAGACACAGGGAGGAGGAGCAGGAGCAGCAGCGACACGGCTGGAGCAAGGACAACGTACCATCGGCATCCGCTGCAGCACATGAAGCTGGTTTCCTTCCCCGGTGGGTCCCGCTCATCATGTATCTGCAGAATGAGAATAATGTCGACCGCCTGCATTATGAACGATCATGATGATGATCTCGGAAGAGGACGGGGTAAGCGGGCCATGACTGCTGCATCCACAGAAGGTTGGTGGAGGTTCGAGGACCGAAGTGGAGGAGAAGGCAAGCAAAGTGAGGCATCATCACAGGACCATCTGGGGGACCAGAGAAGCTTAGTCACCAAAGTTGAGTAGTTTTTCCGTGTTCACCGAAGCTTTATCTCGTTCCTGCCGTAGATAATAATAATAACAACAATTATTATTATTATTTTATTATTGTCATGTACGGTTGTTGATAATAATCTCGTTAATATTTAAAAAAAGCGAGAGACACGAGGGCGGGGAGCCAGCCGAGGATGACGGCTGCACAAATGGACGGCGGATGATGAAGAGTAGCTCGATCACCAAAAATATCGCCATCGACTAGAATGGCTGGCAGTGATGTGACTGTGACAGCTGGGAGAATCTGGCTGCGGATTTCAAATTCTTCGCAAGCAAATTGGAAAGCATAGGAACATTATTTGGAGCCCGTTGAGTGCTTCTTTTCTCTCTCTCTCTCTCTCTCTCTCTCTCTTCAAATATATTGCATATTGTATGAGTTATAGGAAATGAAAAATAATTTGTAGGAAATAACTCTTTTCGTCACAAGAGAAAAGAATTGTGACCTATCAAAAACATGATTACTCCTCGCCTATCATCTACGTTAGCCATGCAGGCAAGTTGGGCAAATATTATTATTATTATTATCATTTATTTTATCCTCTCGATATTTTATTATATGGTAGTATGAATTTGAGGCCTTTGTTGAGACATTGGAGATCGTCCGAGGATTTGGTCGATCGCAATTACATTAAGAATAGAGACATTGACCATTCATGTATATTAGTAAATAAAAAATATTCATTTAGATACTTAGATTGCTATACCCGCAAAGTAACATGTACTACAAGACTTTTTGAGGGGCAACTACAGAATCAACATTGTCATTTACAAGCCAACTCTGATTCCTGTCCATTTAAGTTCCGTATACTATAACATAGCGACTATTCACTAAGTACCTGTTTCTGCTTCTTCCTACGATCGAAATGTATCTTACGTAAAACTCCCTCCTCCTTTATCCTCGCACGGTAATTTTATCTAATTTTGGATTATATATATATATATTTTTTTTTTTTGAATCGAGTAGATAAACATCATTTTATTCGTCATTTATAAATATTTATTATAATTTATTTATTTATCAAATCATAAGTAGAAAAATAAATATAGTGATGTTAACTTCAAGAATTATCCAAGTGACTCTACCAAGCGGTAGAGGAAGGTCCGCTCTCCACTAGAATTCGATTTAGTACTAAAGGAAGACTATTCTGAAAATTAAAAACAAAGAAAATTCAGCGTTAGTAAGAATCCCAAAAGTCAACTTAAAATGAATACATGATCAAAATTCAATCATCTCATTGGCATATATCAAATACTTAAAGGAGCACTCTCCCAATAATGGATGGCGAAACTTTATCCTACGGGATGAGTTTGTGTTCTCCCAACAACGGATGGAGACAAACTCATATCGTACTCGCAACAGCGGATGTAATGGTATCCCTCACCTGCCAAAGTGGGGACACGTTCCTCCCATTAGCAGATGGAATAACCATCCAACCACCACGTCTGACGACCTACTAATCCCCGAAGGGAATCGCCATACTTGCTCTCGGTAGGGAAATAACATAATCTCGCACTGGTTATGTCTATATCGGGATGAAATAGCACATTTAAAACATCTCTTTCAAATATCATCAATATAAAATAATACAAATTAGCCCTCAATTGACTTGAACCCTAGTTCAATCGATTCAATTGAACTCAATTTACTAGAACCTAACTGAATCGATCTCTAAACCTCATTTAACTGGTCTGGAATCACCCTAGACTAGTATAAATTGAACTAGATTAGGTTTAATTTAGGTTAAACTTACTTGAATAAGTTAATCAATTCGAAATTACCCTGAATCGATCTAGACTAATCAAGCCTAGTTTAGTTCAATCAATATTTGGACTCAAATCCAACAACAATATTGGGCTAGAATGGGGCCAGCTCATCTACTGGTCATATGCATTATACATGACTGAGCATGCATCATACAAAAATGGCCCAACCTTGACCCATGGACTGGTCATGTGCGTCGTATGTGACCGCCCATGATGGTTGGGTTGGGTTAGCCTATGGGCCAAGGCTTGACCCGTGGGTTGGGCCTAGCCTATGGGCTAGGCCCATGATTGGGCCTGGCCAGTGTACTATGGCCTGACATATGAGTTGGGCTTAGCCTATGAGCAATTTCAATCCAATTCATATCCAATTTCATACCGCAACATGTATTCACTAACAATTATATAAATAAAAACATAATAACACATTAAAAGATAGATTAGGAGATAAGCTTTAATACAAGAAAATAACCTTCTAAATTCAAATAGAAATCATACTTTCAACACATGTATAATTTCAATATATTCTAGTCAAATAAATTTTAAATCATTCAGAATAGCACATTTTAAATTTCAAATCAAAGAATATCAAAAATTTTAGATAGCATATTTTAATCTAATAAAAATTTTAATCCAGATAAGATTAAAGATAAGTTGTAATACTAGGAAATATCATATATTCAATACATAGAACATGTAAATTTTTAACATATTTAAATCTAAAAATAAAAACCTTAAGCAGGGGTCAAAGAACATTATAAAAACTTCAGTTGAAAGATTTTAATACAACAATAAATTTTTTGACATTTAAAGAATTGATAAATATTTTTAAACGGTAAAACTTTCAACATTTAAAGAATCAAAATAAAAACTAAAACTTTTATTTTCAAGAAAGATAGGAAAACCTACCTCTTATCAATAGGGTGTAACTCCTCATTCCTCCCACTGTTGGGCTCGGCTAAGTGAGGAACGGATGAGAGAAATCCCTCTTCTTAAATAGGAGGAGGTGAGCCTCCATTAAAGAAAATTTATTTTAATTTTTATATTTATTTAATATAAATTATTTCTATTTAATATACTAACAAATATGATATCACCCAATTTGAAATGCTTAATAGTTATTTCCTAATTCGTAATAGCAAACAAGGAAATAGATTAAAATTTTCTAAATTACAATGGCAAGTAAAGATAAAATTAATTCTTAACTTAATTATTTGATTTGATTACATTTCTCCCCTCCTATAGGAAATTTAGTCCCCAAATTTAGCTCACCTTAATATAATATATGAGGATACTGCTCTCGCATATCTTCTTCCCTTTCCCACATTGCCTCTTGGTCTGAATGGTGTTGCCAACAAATCTTTACCAAAGGTATAGTTTTATTCCTTAGAACATGTTCTTTCCTTTCTAAGATCTAGGTTGGTTATTCTTCAAAAGTGACATCATCTCTTAGTTATAGAGGTTGGTAAGATATGACATGTGATGGATCCTTAATATATCTCTGAAGCATAGACACGTGGAATACATTATGGATGCTAGCCAAAGCCGGGGGCAATGCCAATCTGTACGCCATAGGCCTGACCTTTTATAAGATCTTAAACGGGCTAATGAATCTCGGGGATAACTTCCCTTTTTGACTAAACCTCATAACTCTCTTGGTTGGCGACACTTATAAGAAGACGTGCTCACCAACTTCAAACTCTAGATCTCTTCGCCTTCGATCTGCATAACTTTTCTGACGACTTTGAGCTATTAATAATTTTTGGCGTATAATTCAAACATTATCAACATCTTTTTGAATTAATTAAGGCCCCAAAAGTTTCTATTCTCCTACCTCATCCCAATATACAGGTGATATGCACTTTCTTCCGTAAAAAGCTTCAAATGGAGCCATCTGTATACTAGAGTGATAACTATTATTATACGAAAACTCAATTAGGTGTAAGTGCATATCCCAACTCCCACCAAAGTCCAAAGCACATGCTCTTAAGAGATCTTCAAGAGTTTGTATTGTCCTTTCAGATTGGCTATCAGTTTGGGGGTAAAAAGTTATACTAAACTTTAACTATGTGCCCAAATATTTTTGTAGACTTCCCCAATGTTAGGAATAGAGTCGGCACTAAGAGGAGGGGAGGGGGGGTGGGGGTGGGGGTGGTGAATTAGTGCAATGGTAAAATATGTTGGTTCCGAAAACTTTTCGTACGATAAAAGCCAAACTTGGAAATGCTTAACTTGAAAGCGTGTTCGTAAATATATTGAATGTAGTAAGCAAGTAAAATGGTTTGCAGTAAAGTAAATTGCTCAAGACGAAATGCAAACCAGAGTTTAGAGTGGTTTGATCGTCGTGACCTACATCCACTTTGCCGATTCCTCTTCCGTCGAGGCCACCGACATCCACTATCGGTCTTCCTTTAATAGGCGAAGACCAACCACCTTTTACACTCTTCTTCTCCTTTTAACAGGTTTAGGAGATAACCTTTACAAGCACACACACTCCTCCTAAACAGAATTCTAGACTTAGACTAGAGGAGGGGATTTCTCAAGTGATTGCAATAGCATTTATTCACTTTTAAACTCTTTGTGCTTGTGTGTGTTAACCAAGGATGAGAGGGATATTTATAGGCCTCAAGTTGATTCAAACTTGGAGCCTAAAAACATCTTATCCCGAGTTTCCTAGGTTCGGGCGGTACCACCGCCTATGCTGGGCAGTACCACCGCTGACATTGACACTGCACTGGGCAGTACCACTGCCCAGTCTGGCGGTACCATCGCCTAGCACTGGGCCACTGGGCGATACCACCATCCAGACTAGCAGTACCATCGCCTGACATGGTCTGGAAGACTATGCCACGACGGTGCCACTTCTTGGGTCACTGTTTGGGCCTTTCATTGGGTCCAACACAGTCCTTACATGGGCCCAACTAGCCCCTAATTGGGTTGGCCCAAATCTAATCCCAATTACGTGCTAACTATGAATTCTAAGACATTTCCTAAGCTAAACAAGTCCGTAAGTCTAGTTTCTTCCGACAAGCTTCTAACAATCTTTCGGCGAACTTCCGATGATCTCTCGGCAATATTCCAACGGACTCCTAGCAAGCTTCTGGACTTCACGATGATCTTCTTCGCGAGTTCCGATGAGCTTCTCTAGCAAGCTCCGAGAGTTCTCGGTTGGTTCCTGCAGAACTTATGATGAACGTCCGGACTTCCG